ATAAATTTACATGATGCTGATTTGAAATCTTATGAGTCCATTTTGTTATTTAGGCAAGTCAATAACCTTGAGTTTTTAAAAACTATATAAATAATTATAATTTATAGGTGCCGAAATGCAATTTTACTAATTTCAGATATTTATAAGATTACAATACAAAATACTAATATTAAGTGCGAGCATTTAATGCGATCGTTGCATTTATAACATTTGCAATGTAAATGCAACGGACATTTACATTGTCCGTATATATATATATATATATATATATATATCCCACTTATATTTAATGACAAATGATTTTCAAATTAATGGATTGAAGACTAAACATTAAAAAATATTTGAATTGTATATACCTATCGGTATGTATAGATTTTGTTAGTATTAAATATTTTCAAATATCTATTGGGTCTGCAGTTATATTATGTTATGTTATGTTATGTTATGTTATGTTATGTTATGTTATGTTATGTTATCACAATCATTATTAATTATCAATAAAAAGGTATACTTGCAGTATTCCATGTACATGTATACATAATTACTATGTATTATAATTTTAATGAACTTTATTAAGCTTGGATGATTGACTTTTTTCGAAATGATAATTTCGCGATGAATTGCCGATTTGTTGCAATGATATACTGATGAATTTTTATCGATGATTTTTACTGCAAAGCCAATGGTTTCGTTATTTACGTTTGCCACACAATACTTGACTTGTCCAAATGTGCCTTTTCCGATGGTGTTTTCAAAATATACCTTTATCTTTGATTTGTGTGATGCCGTGGTTCTGTTTGGTTCAATAGAGGATATTTCCATTGTAATGGTGTTTTGTTTAAAAATGACAATTTATAAAACGTTAACGTGACGTGACTTCAAATAAAAATAAATGAAACAACTAAACCAAATAACGTGCCGTGAAAATGCATTAAAAATATACCATTTAAAGGAAACAACAGAAATTCAGTAACCATGACGAGGATTGCTAGTCCTTCCCCACCCTCTCCCAACCACATTATTCTTTATGTCATCTTTGCAGGTTTGAAGTAATTTATTGTGTTTAATGATTGAATCCAAGAATAGTAGAGCTGTGAGTGTATTCATAAAATCGATGTCAAGTTTTTTTTTTAAATATTCTATAATAGACAGGTATAGCTGCGATTAATACTAGGAATAAAAAAATCTGTAATTAACGGTTATGAACAATAAACTGGCCTACTTTATACGTATATGAATAAAACAACACTGTGCAGTATAGTTGAAAAGAATTATTATTAATTCGATTATTTGCTACAATAAAATCAATACGCCTCTATATATGTTGTCTATCTAGACAACTCTAAAGAGCGTGATGGAGATCGTGTCAAAATCCTGCAAAAACTATATCTTACGACTTTTGGGTGACATGAAAAATACTTGTCACAACAAATGAACGAATAAGTATGGTTATTGACGACAATCAGAATTAAAATAAAAAATGCTTGTAATTTATTTTATAGTGTAGATAACGTATTTAACCGTTGTAGTATTAATTTTTTTTTAATATTGTTTTACGAAATTTGATTAATTCATTTTTTTTWAAATTAAAAACAATACTATTATAMCTACTATAATGATCCTTAAGAAAATCTGAATAAATCTGTTTGGAGATAAATTATTATTTTGTATAACATAGCCTATATAGCCGTAAAATATACATTATACATAGGTGGTATATGTTATTTACCTTAAAAAAGCTTATAGGTATCAGAATATAATTGATTTCCTGTAAAGAATAAAAAAGTGATAATAACCTGCAAGTTTAAAGTTGTGTATCATATAACATTATAAGGATGCCTAATATTATATATGTATAGCAATAATGTAAACACTTAACTAGATTAGTATATTTCAAAACTTATTGATAAAGTAGCCATATAAATAACTAATATATATATACCTACTCTATACATACATATTAATAACTAAGATTTCTACTAAAAATATATTTAAGACCTACATACATTATTATTTTTATTTATTTAAGTGAGAAATTATAGTTTATAGTCTATAGGTGAATAACGATATAATGCATAATATCTATAAACGGCCACCACGCTGTGCTATTAAATTCTGTCTAAAATACCTACGAAATCTCATCTATAGCCAATAATATAATGGTTATATCTTATATAAGTATATAATAATTTATATATTATGGTCCATTCAAAACAAACTATGCATCGAAATAAACAAGTTTCTAAGACATTGACACCATGTTTATATAATTGAAACTATTATATTATTTATTATGTGCCACTGAATTAGTTATTGGCAAAATTAAAATAAATATGAGTGTTTAATGCTCATAGTCCATATAGGTAGGTACTTGGATCCAACCAGTTAACCTTGGTATTTTCCGTCACAGGTATTGGAAAAATATTTCGTATTGGGTGGTGTACACGTTCTGTATTTCGAGTAATCCCGGATGATGTTACTAAATTTCATTCTCTTATATATATATATATATATATATACCTTATACTCACTGTAGTTCCTATTTCCTATCTATTATAATTGTGTGCTTAATACATACACCTGCATCATGTGGTTCGTTACATAATAATGTAATAAACTTTTATAATATATAGGTACATTATAATTTACAAATTATATAACCTACAGCAATCACAAAAAATGTAAAAAGTACATAAGTAATAATTGCCATAGAAAACAAGTTGAATCTTGAACAAACAAAAAAAAGGCAATAAATAATGAATAGAAAGCTTTTATGTATAGGTGTACTTATAAGTATACAGGTAAGTACATGTGTATAATATTTATATTTATATTTTAACATTTATTAAAGGATACACAATCTATACAAATTATTTTTGGTATGTGAAAAAGATATATATATATATAATATAGTAATATACATGTACATAGAGCTAGGGCCATATTTACGCACGGACAAAATAGACATTTGTCACCCACTGGTGATTAACACTGACTATGTTATTTATTAAACATGGCCAATTTATATACCAAATATGTATATGTGGCCCAATTTTTTATTTTGTCCTAAGTCATATATTTGGTAAATCAGGCTGTATACAGCTTGAAAGACTTGAATTAACAAAGAAGCTAGCCACATAATATATAACAGCTAGCGAATCATATACCCCTATAGATATTGGTGGTACGATTTTCCTATTGCCAGGGCAATCTCRGTAGACTGTTCTTGAGAAATTTTGTAACGATCAAGTCATAAAGGGCCGCTGACCTAAAATATGTTAGAGTTCAAAGTTGAAGAAATGGAAACTAAATGTTGGACCTGTACACACCTGCACAGTACATATTATGGTTGTAGACTTGTAGGTATTTTTGATATTAAATTTGTTAGTATAATAATCCAGGTCTGTTCCTTTATATTGCCAAGAAAGAAGAGGAGAGGGTTTGACAGKCCGCAGAAGCTGAGTGAGAGCGGCCACCACCGTACGAGCCTCTTAAGCGGCGGGCTAAGGCCGGCTTGAGAAGAGTTTTTCAGCACGAGATGTCTAGGATGGCTGGCTTATGCCGGTCCGCGAAGAGGCAACGGTACGCGATGTCTAGGGTGGCGGACTTGGCCGGCCCGAGAAGAAAAATACCGGAAATATATACTATATGTWTATAAATAGCTGTATGGGGATACAGCGGG